AACTCCCTAGTCGATATCGTTATATATAGTAATAGCGATTAAAGCACTAATACAGTTAATCCGGCTGCTAGTGCTACTAGATGCATATAGTGCGTACTACGCAAGACAGCGAGGGTACTATTAAGCGAACTTGTAGACGGTAATAGCCGAGCGTTTATAGATAAGCTGTTACGTGCTTAGCAGAGGGACGCCTTTGCTACGGCTCGTATAGATTAGCTTAGAAGTAGCCGTAAGACTAGATCTAGCAAGAATTGGTCGATTGATGCTAATAGCTATTTGCGCTATAAGGGCAGGCTCTATGTCCCTACCGAGCATTCGATCCGATAAGAGCTTCTTAAGCGATACTATAATAGTAAGCTTGCCGGTTACTATAGTATAGAGAGGTCGCACGAGTTACTATCGCGTATATACTACTAGCTAAATAGTAAGCGGGATATAAAGGACTACGTAAATACGTATACTATGTATTAACGAGTTAAAGCACTAAAGCACTTACTATTTGGCGAGTTGTCTTTACTCCCTATTCTAAAGAAGCTGTTTGCTAAGCTTATAATGGATTTTATTACAGGCCTCCCGCCTGCTAAGCGTAGGGGCAGCACGGATGTATATAATGCTATCCTAGTTATCGTAGACCGGTTTACTAAGGGCGCTCGATACATTCCTACCCGAAAGGATTAGACGGCTATTAACCTAGCTAAGTCGCTATAGAACAATATCTTCTATAGCTATTAGGGAACCCCTAAGGGGATAGTCTCCGATCGAGGCTCGACATTTATATCTTACTATTAGAGTAAGATTTGCCTATAGCTAAGACTTAAGCATCGCCTGTCTATAGCATTCTATCTATAAACAGATAGTTAGACTAAAAGGTAGAATGCTACCCTATAGCAGTACCTACGCAGTTATATTAACGAGAACCCTAACGACTAGGTCAACCTCCTATAGCCTACAGAATTCGTATATAACAATAGTGTACACTTATCTACTAAGGTTTTACTATATATAGCTATAATAGGCTAGAACGCCGCCTTACTATAAGACCTATTTACCTCGCTCGAGGCCGAGCGTAAGGAAAGGGAAGCGCGTTAAGTACTAACACCTAAGACGCTAGCGGCTATTAAGAGGGTTCAAAAGATGCGAGAGATTTACGCTAAGTTAGCTAACAAACTAGCAAAGGCCTAGGTATATTAGAAGGCCTACTATAACAAACACTATACGCTAATAACTTTCAAGTAAGGCGATATAGTTATACTAAGTACTAAGAACCTCCGTATCCGTAAACACCTATTACCTAATAGCAAAACAAGGCCTAAGCTTGCACTAAGATACATTAGCCTATTCCGAATCCGAGAACCGAAGGGCAATAGCTAGGCCTATTAATTATAGCTCCTACTATACTATACTATCTATAACACCTTCTATATCTCCCTCCTTAAGCTATACTACTACCGCGGAGATTCTAATAAAGAAGCCCCTACTAAACACGAAGAAATACTAGCCGACGGTAAAGAGCTATAGTCTATAGAACGCATCCTAAAGTACCGAACTAGGCAGAGCAAGAAGGAATACCTATTAAGATAGCAAGGCTATTTACCTAAATAGGACTCGTAGGAGGCTAAAGATTCCTTTAAGGATATAGCTAAGTTGTTAAACGAGTATTAGACTAGCGTAAAGAATAAGAAGAAGGCTAAAAGCTTAGGCAAGTAATTGTTAGTAATAAAGGACAATAAGACTATACTATTATAGAATCTACCTCTTCTCTAGCGCACCCTACAAGACCCTTCTCTTAGCGCCCCTCTTGCTCTTTTATTCTATCGAGGCCCTAAGGCCTAAGCGATCGATAAGGGCGCGCGCGCATATGCGAATAATAGTAATAAAGACGATAGCGTCGCGCTACGAGCTAGCGAAGAACGGCGCGGCCGGCGCGGCTATATTAGTAATAGTATTACGGGGTGTATTACTGTTTAAGAAAGGAAGGACACCGCTATATTAGTAACGGTATTGCCGAGTTGTTATCGGTTAAAGAAGGAAATTAGAAGCAAGATAAAGTTAGCGCTAAGACGGCTAGTACTACTATTATTAATATTACTTGCTATTGTTACTGCGCCTATAGGCACAACCTTACCTATACTACGAGCCTAAGGCACCTTTAATTAAAACTTTAATTAAAACTTTAAGCCGCCTAAAAGATTAAGCGACTAATAGACTAACTAAGGGTAAAACTATAGAGCTAAGCTAGCCGGGGTCGATCTTGCGGACAATAGGTTACTCCTCGATCTGTCTAACCCTTTAAGCGAGGCGAACCTTAACTACTGCACTTATAATAGCCTTTACCTATAGAAACTAGACGAGCTGTGTTTTTTCCGAAAAGATAAGATAAGATTGACAATTAAAGGCTGCTAAACCTAACTAATTTAGGCTAGTGAAACTACGATAGTAAATAATAACCCTCGGAAGCGGACAAACCCTCGGGAGCGGACATTGCTAGGTCTTTTAAGAGTAGACGCAAAGAACTCGGTACGACATTACTTAGAGCGGAGGCAGGGCTGCAATACCTCGTACGTCTACCTATTATAGTAGGGAAGACGCGCTCGTATTATAATTAGTCGAAGGCCCTTAATTCCTACAGATACATATCACTTTATAGTTTATTATATATAGGGATAGCGTAGTTAGAGTTAGACATTGTGCTATATTAGAGGTAAGGTTTGATATAGTTATATAATCGGTAGTTGTATGTTTAATTTAGCGCGGACTAAGCGGCTTATTAGACCTGCTAAGTTAGCGGCAATAGAGGTTGAGACTAGAACAAAGACCGGCTACGAGGGCGCGGCCTTTGGGAGGGAAGCGTATATTAGGACTAAAGAGGTTACACGTAATTAGTATGTAACCGGGCTCGAGTAAAGCTAGGGTCTTAATGCCTTAGGCAGAGCTTAGCGCTTAGCAGTAGGCTAACTAGCCTGCCTTCCTCCTTCTCCTCCGAGTTCTCTATCGAATACTACACTAATTTACTACTACCCTATCTACCTGCTAACATAACCCTTCTTATAAAGGATATCTTAATAGGATTAAAGTCTAGTAAGTATAGCGGCAAGTAACGCAGGTAAATGCTAAACCTATTATATAGGTCTTAAACGCGTAGACTATAGTAGATTAAGGTATTGTTTATAGTAAGAAACATGCCTCTATCTAGTCGAGGTAGTATAAACAACTCTAGCTAGTCTTCGAAGTCTACGGCTTTAATAGAGCCTTAGTAGATTAGGTAATCGTCTAGATAACCCTTACTTGTTATAGTAGATAGTATAGACTATCTCTTTAACCTCTTCGAGCCCCCGATATCTTTATATAGTATATTAACCTTAGAATAGCTATATTTCCTCTATCTAGTGCGCTCGTTTAAACTAGACTCGTCGATATAATAAATATAATCTATTAGTATCCCCTTCTATAGTATCCGCTAGTTCTCGCGTAACTCGTAGCTCTATTCTAGTACCTTACGCTACGCCTTCTTCTTTAAGAAGTTATACCTCTTAATAATATTACTAACCGTAGACTTAGATACTATAACGTTAAACTCGTCGAATATAAACTATACGGTCTCGGAATAGTACGAAGTTAGTAGATCGCGAAGATAGTCGATTATACGTACCTCCTACGCTAAAGTAAGGGCTCGAGACGGTCCTTTCTTCGCCTATTATAGATATAGCTCGCTAAATAATATAATATTAATCCTTAGGGCATCGACGGCGCGCCTACTAATACGAGTCTTCTATGCGATACTACGATTAGAATAGCCTTCTGCCTATAGATCTTTAATAAAGGTAATCTAATCCTCCGGTATACGCGTACGGTACGAGAGCGCGTATTTCTAAGCTATATACGCTATTCTAGGCGACTAACAACACCTAAGAACGGCTATACTATTAAAAAAGCGACGACAAGTATGCTAGTAATAATACGATTGATTGCAGCTACTCGGTATTCGGGTTTACTAACTAATTGGTAGGCTTCGCGAACGACGCGTATAGACCCTAGGTAGGCACGCTTACCTTGGCACGGTAATAACCAGGAGCCACACAGTCAAGATTTCGAACATTCAGGTACGAATCGCCTCGATGAAGTGAAAGGGTAGGAAGGGCTCAAAAGGGGCTTCCATACGCACAAGACACCCTGTACAAGTCACGTACATTTCTGCCGGGCGAGTCTGGAGGTGCTTTCTCGCCAAGACGAAGCCGAAGTCACAGGCGTCACTGCCAGTTCGTCGGTTCGTCCTCGGATGAGCTCTCCTGGGTCACAAGAACAATCACGGACATGCAAGACGAAGTATACATGTATCCATGATGGGCTCCAGCGGGACACCGAATTGCCCACGATGCAGACGTTAAGCATTCAATACTCCATTCATCAGCCAAGATGAAGTGTAGTCAATAATGACGTTCGCAGAACAACAGGGAAATCCCCGAAGGCTCTTCTTATTAGAAGCTTCCTCACAGCTACACCCTGCATATATAGCGGCTCGCGATGGCTCGGATCGTCTGCACACCATCCAAAACAACCCGAGCCAGTCGCGAGACGTCTTTGACCTCCGCACCAGCTGGACGTCTGGAGACCTCGCAGATCTTCATAGACGAAAACACATCATGACCAGCGTGACCACGGCTCCACAGTAACATCGTCTGCCAGCGCAGCAAGACCAAGACCGAAGTCGTGTAGTCGTCCAGACTCAGAGCCAATAATGGGCCTCTGCAGACCCGTTGCTCAGTAAATGAGCGAGGAGCAGAGGAATGTTTATCTGCATGCAGGAGGGTCAGGCAGCCCGACAACCTCTGAACGAGGGTGCATTGCGCAGTGCCGCCGAGGATGAAATACTATAAATTGTCTTCATCCCCCGAGGTGGGTGTCTGTTGTTGTGAGTGTTCTGCGATATATTCGTATCATACTGCACGGAGTCAACAGCACCGGCACTCATTACTTACCTGCATGCCTATCATCTTGCAACAATGCCTCTCATAGAACTCGTGCTTCTCATTTCTTCGCTCGTGGACGCTTCGCCAACACATCGGCTGCTGAGACGAGCACCTCGCACTGATGTTCTGGGAGGAGCAAACTTCCCGGATCCAACGCTGTTAGACGATGCAGGCAAGACGTATGCCTTTGCAACAGTCGATGGTGCAGGTCACCAGGTTCCGGTAACCAGCAGCGACGACTTCCATAGCTGGTCTGCCATCTCAGAATCTTTCCCTTCAGAAGGAGTTCCTGCATTCAGCTCCTGGGCAGCTCCAAACACGATCTGGGCACCGGATGTCAATAAGTTGGACGACTATGATGGAAGTTATGCCATGTACTACTCTCCGGCTTTGTCATCGGACGGTTCAATACACTGCATTGGTCTTGCGAGGAGTGCCAATATTGCTGGACCTTACAATGATTCTTCGACTGAGCCCTGGATTTGTCCTCAGGAGCAAGGAGGTGCCATCGACGCCGCAGGGTTCCTGGATGATGATGGCAAAAGATATGTACTGTACAAAGTCGATGGTCCAGCTGCTGCGAATGGAGGATACTGTGCGAGCACTGCCAACACACCCAGTACTCCCATCATGATCCAGCCAACGCAATCCGACGGCTATACCAAGATTGGTGATCCCGTAGAAATCTACAACAACAATGGTGTCGAGGATCGCTACCAGACCGAGGCCCCGTCGCTCATTAAGGGCAGTGATGGCACTTATTTCCTCTTCTTCAGCACTGGCTGCTATGACGATAACAGCTATACCACCAGCTATGCCACCAGCACAGACGGCATCTTCGGACCGTACGAGAACAGACAGGTCCTCTTGAAGAATGGCGACTACGGTCAATTCGGTCCAGGCGGAATGGATCTTGCTCTGGATGGAAGTGGGAGAGCGGTATATCATTCTTTGAAAGGCGACAATGATATTTCGCAAGGTCGCGTCATGAACACGGCCATGATCTCGCTTTCTGGTCGAAGCGCGTCGATCAATTGAGTAGTAGCGTGGACAATGGGTTGGATTAGGTTTCTTGGGTGTTCTTGGTGTTGCCCAGATTTTGCAGCTGATGATGAGGCGATGTACATATGATCATTATGAACGCTTCTGCACGTAGCCACTCGTAACAGGGATCAATCAAGTTCTGATGTGGCATACAGCACGGCAAGCCACTGCAGGGTCGAGGACGGGAAGTGCTGTAGAGTGACGACATTCAGTAGCGTTAACGTGAGATTACATGTATCCCGGCTCATTTTACTATGCACGCCCATGTCGTCGACGATTTGCTCACCGCATTGGCTGACGAGGAGGCTGTACGGCACTGTACATACTGGTGTCTGATGCCGCGGAGGTTGATGACAGCAGGCCACACGGCACGGTACTTCTGTATATACACTGTAGCCTTTTTGGCCCTGCTGCTGCTCTATTATTCTAGCCACGCAGTCGACTGGCCAACTCGAGGAATTGCATTTGCGCGGCATCCCCAAGCTTCGAACTATTACGCACAGCGCAGTGGATTACTTACGTAATACTGCATTGCCGGCGGTTGAATTAGCTTCGTTGATTGCCTATATTCTATCTCTTCTATAGTCTAAAATACAGTGTAGAAAATTCTTTAAGCTAAGAAGTTACGTGCCTGTTATGTGACTAAGCTAACGCGTTATACACCCCCTTAGCTTGTGCAAAAGGGTTTTAGGCAAGGTAGTTAATGCTTCTTTACATATAAACAAAAGAAAATTAATCCTTTCAACTCCTTATATAGTACTTTATTAAAACACTAAAAAAATGGTTTAAATCTACACTATATATAAGAGAGTCTTATTTTATACCCCGATTACCCTAGAAGGATATCGTTACATAATCCGGACTGTATATGCACCTTTATATATAGTCCCTATTACTAGGAACTATTGTCTTCCTACGTAGTCTAGGCACAGACCGACACTATTAAGCCTTATCTAAGTACTCGTATCGTATAGTAAAGTTAGTTTAGCTAAACTAAGCCCGTTATATTATTACTATCGGTTATTATATCAATCGCATAGGTGGCGTCTATTTAATTAGATAAAGGATTAGGTAAGATGTGTATTAGTTAAACAGATTTAATAAATCAGAATAGGTAACTTAACTAAGGACGCTACCCTTAGCTAAGACTACTACACTATTATTACTAGTACTAATACAATCGCCGTAGACTTGTTATTAGTTAGTAGAAGTAACGTTCGAAGTAATAATATAGGCGACAGTAACGTACCCCGCAAAGTAAGGTTTTCCTATACTATTTGTTTAGTCTATATTAGAAGGTAAGGTTGAATCTTTTGTTCTAATTGGTCGTCGTTATCGTGTTAGACACTTTTGCTAGCGCTAATCGATGAAGGTATGCTCAATCGACTTAGTTACAATTAATAGTAAATAGGGGGGGGGGCTACTACTACCTATTATATAGAGTTGTCTTCGTGTTGCTAAAGAGGAAGAGATTGTTAGAGGAAGAGTTGCCTCCTTATATACCTCATTTCGGCTCTGCTTTACTTTGTAGTCTGTTAGTTAGTAGCCTTAATAGCCTAAGTTGCTATATAAACCTCTGTTAATTCTATAGTCTATAGAGTTTAGTAAGTCTATCGGCTAGTATGTCCTAGGTAGCTAGGTATTTACAGTGAATCCTTCTAGCCTTATATTCTTGCCTTAGCTAGCACTAGTGAATATCTATATAGCGTAGCTTCGTGTCCAATTTGCTAGTATTAGCCTTAATAATGCGGATAGTCTGTATATTGTTACAATACAGTATAGGGGTCTTATTTAGTATAAGCCCTATGTTAGTAAAGAAACGTCTCTACTATATTATCTCTAATCCTATATGTAACGCTGCAAGTAGCTCTACTTCTATTATAGACTTAGTAACAGTTGACTATCGTACTGCCTTCTAATTAACTAGTCTATTAAATAGGCTAAATAGCCAGCCTTCTAATAACTGCCTTATTCCTTTGTAGTTACTATATAAGGCATTAGATGCACTATAAAACTTATTGAGCTTATAGGTTAAGTGTGCCGTAATTGTTAGTCTAGCATTATTGTATTCTAGATACAGGTCCTTTGTCTAATAAAGGTACTTGATGCACTAGTTAGTAGCAGCTATATCTACCTGCCTAGGATTTTAAAGTGCCTTTAACAACAATGACACTGCTTTGGCTATGTCTAGCCTCGTTTATACAGCTGCGAAGTTGAGTGATCTAATACGGCTCTAATAAGCTAGTATCGCTATAGGATCGAGGTGTGTTGTATCCTCGCTAGGTTCTAGTTTCTTATATAGCTTATATCTAGTTAGCAACGGTAACTCGGCTCTTCTCCTAACGTTGGTAATGTTATATCGCTAAGCTATCTTCTTAATATAGGTCTTCTAGGATAGCTAGAGCTGTCGTATAGAGCGATCTCGCTTCACTTTAATACTAAGGAACTATAAGAGCTTCCCTAGGTTATTAAGCTCGTATTCCTTTATTAGCTTCTGCTTTAGGTCTATTGCCTTCTGTTTGTATTAACGGTAATACAATAGCACTATGTTATCTATATAGAAGAAGATGAATATATGCTTGTCTAGGTCGGTGTACAGGCAGTCTACGTTGTTAACTAGTTGCATACTAAGGTTTTCGAGGGTAGTTATAAAGTAATTGTACTAGAGCCGAGGAGACTCCTATAGCCTATACAATGCCTAAAGCAGGCGCAGTACCTTACCCTTCTATGCAAATCCTTCTAGTAGTCTTAGATATAGTATATAGGGCAGTATAGCGTTGAGAAATGCATTTACTATATCTATCTGCTCGGCCTCTAGATCAAACTTTGCAATAATAGCTATTAGGGCTCTAAACACCCTTGCTACGAGGGTTAACGTATAGGTATCCAGGTATGTGCTCTTTTGTAGGTCTCCTCTTACACAGACTCTTGCCTTAAACTTTACTAGCCGTCTATTCGCATTACCCTTATATTTGAATACCTAGGTGAGGGGTAGAAGGTTAGGTTTGTCTAGTATATTAATGTCGACCTATTTAAATGTTCCTATTTTGAGCGCCTTGTTAAACTCAACTATTGCAGCGTATATCCAATGCTCTTTAAACTTGCTCTTAAGTACCTGTCGCCAGTTACGTAGCTCTGCTAGTAGGTCCGAGACCTTTAGTACAAGATTTGGATTATATTCGTCGCATGGAAGTAGTAGTAGTTCTAGTAAAGGTGTATTAGGTAGATTAGACTTATTAGATCGAGTAGGCTGTACGAGGCGTGCTTTATGCTCGGCGGCTATATAAAGGTTACTAAATAATAGGAGGTGCTTTGCTTGTTCTCGATCGTAGTGGATCGCGGCTGCTCGTTGTCGCTTGTTTAGGTTATTAACACAGTAGTGCGGACCTCCTGTATTTAGTAAGTAACGATAAGATATATTAGCGGCTTCAATTGGCATTAGCAATTTAGCTAGCTTAGCACGCAACAAGTTAAAGTCTATATTATCTATATAACCTAGTGCGTCTACATTATTAGTAGGGGCTTTATTGCTAGCATCGTTCTTAGGGGCTCCTTGTTAGACTAATTTATTCAAGACATTATTACGAGGTAGCTAAGTATTGTTTAGTTTAACTAGAAAGTCTTGTTGCTATATAGGCTGTTACTAACTCATTTTAAATAGTCGCGATTGCTTCGGTACTAGGCTAAGTTATTTAACTAGTAGCGGCGTTGTTAGTATTCCTTAGACTAGATCTGCTAGCCTTATAGAGTCGACAATTATTAGTCTTCTAGGTCCTAGTAGTGTATCTACCCCCTTAGTTCTAAACCGTACGAGGTCTAAGGGTGTGTTATATGCTTCTCGAAGGTTATCAAATTGATGCTCCGAGGCGGTTGTTTATAGCTCTTCGAGATCACTAAACTAAGTTAGTTCTTAGTTAGTAAGGTTGACTCCGAGATTATTATCGTATCTATTGTAGAACAGGGTTTCATCAAAGACAACATCTCTTGTCCGTAGAACTGTTATTCGTAATAGTACCTAGATCCTATAGATAGAGTAGCCTTTATAACTATACAGGTACCTAATATAAGTGCGTAAAGCTACCTTTATTGTCCTAGGCAGGATGTCCTTTCGTTTGTATAATGCTAGGTCTGTCTCCGTGCTATAGATCAATAGATAGGCTCGTAAGCCAAACTGATACACATAGGCTATATTAGGCTTGTGTCTAGTTCCAATCTCAAATAGTGTCCTTATTACATAGTCGGTAGAACGTAACCTTAGCGAACGATTAATCAAGAAGGTTACTGCATAAACTCCTTCTAGCTATAGCTTGTGTAGAAAGCGTACGTGTATTATAAGGGCCCTAGCTACTTTAATAATAGTGCGGCCTGCTCGCTTAGCTAGGTCTTGTTTAGGAGTGTATAGTGCTATTAGCCTCTAGGTGGTATAGTTATTGCGTAAATAGGACCGAAAGCGCATCCTACTAATAGCTCCTTTATTATCGGATAATAGGTAGATAATATCTCTGCCAACACTGCGTGCAAATAATGCCAGTTAGCTCTAGCATTGTAGCAAGGTAGATTCAGTTCGATTGCTAATAGTCCAACTAAAGTAAAGCCCTGTATTTAAGTCGTAGGCATAGAACAGGTACCTATCACCGTTATAGGCCGTGTCTAGTTCTAGTAGGTCAGCGGCAATATAACTATATAGAGTAAGAATAGAAACGTCGTGTTTCCGTAGCCTTCTAGAAATAAGCTTCTTGCCCTTAGCCTAAGCATATACTAGACATAGCGGCGTTCTTAGAACTTTAGTATTATGTAAGAGATCTCGTGTTATTCTATTAACCCTATTAGCTAGCTCTTTAGCACGTTCTGCGCTTAGGTGTCTAAACACTTTATGTATCTTCTTAAGTGTCAATTGCCTCGGTAGTAGTAGACGTACAGAGCGTCGTGCAGTAAAGTTGGCCCGTATTAGTTAGAAGAACGGATAACTTCGTGGTCGACCTTTATCGTCGCTTAGCTATATCTTAGGTAGTAGGTTGTTATTAACTTTGCTCTCTATATCGAAGTAGGGCATATTGTTGTCTAGTCTAACGAACTTAACTAGTGGTTTTCCTTAAGGGTTGTACAGTGTATCATCCATCTCCTAATGCCTAAACCCCTTATAATAGAATAGTGTCCTACTAATAATATTGGTATAAAAGTTAGGGATATAGAGGCATTCCTTTAGTTCGATCTCTAGGGGACTTCCGCTAGTACTCTTTACTGTAAATGATGCTATTCTAATAGCGACGACTCGATTGTACGTAGTGCTAGTAGCTACAGTTGCCTATAGCGGAAGGAAGAGCGCTTTAAAGTTAAATCGACTAGGGTAATTAATAATGTTACAGTTTAAGCTACTATTATATATTAGTGCGTTGAATGGGTTCTATTTGCCCTTGTATACGATTATTGACATGTAGGTAGTTAGATTAGCCGCTAGTAAAGCTAATAGAGGTGCTAGTAAAGGATTATAGAAGCAGGCTACTAAGAGCTTGCCTAATCCATTACCTATACTAGTATTATCCTTATTACGGCCCTCGTAGTATTATTGCTTAGCAATCTTAATAGCTAGTGGATCTTTATAGAACTTAGCTTGTCTTAGACAGAAGTCCTTGTTACGGCGAAGATAGCCTTTATAGAACTTTAGCTTGCTACGCTACTAGGCGTCTTTGTCCTTCTCTTCTACTTTGTTACGTAGCCGGTAGTTAACTACTAAGCACTTGCTACGATTCTTATATGCCTTCCTCTTACTAAGGCTAGTAAGTTCAGTATAGGATTTAGGAGTGCGGCGCTTGTTCTTGTCTTTGTCTTTAATAGCACCGCTAGTAGCCCCCTATAGTGCGGCATTAGAAGCATTATCTTCCTGCTTATAGACTACACTAAAGGATGAGCCCTTACGAGTCGTCGAGGCACTAGCTATGTTCCGAGAGTAGTCTCGTATTATACTAATTAATTAGTAGAAGTTGTTTACTATTAGCCCTGCCTAGTGCATTATATAAAGTCCCTTGCTATAGGTCTTATCTATATTCGTAACTGCAGTATACAGGTAGGTTACTAGGTTGTTAAATTCTAGGTGTTATATACGCTTTATAGTTTTGTGTAGATTAAGCTATTCCTTACACTAGTACTCGGGGTCCTTTACCTGTTTAGAGTTTACTAGGCGTTGTAGCTCTTTGCTAAGAGAGGTTCTTTACTATTGCGTATTAGGTACGAGCTTGTTCTTCAATCGAGTTAGAATAAGCCGCATAGTTAGTACTACGTTGTCTATATTAGGATTAGTAATCTCTAAGTGATAGCGAATGTCTATAGTCGTAGCTAGATACTTAATTGTCCTATTGCGAGCTATCCTAAAGCGTTTAAACTCCGCCTTCCTTATATCGAAGTGTTCCTTAGTAAGCTTTGCCCTAGCCTAATATAGGGGGTTGCTTATAAGTTGCTCTATATCGAATTCCGGGAGAAGGGGTTGTAGTAGTTTAGTAGGCTCGTTCGAATATAGATTAGTAAGGACCTAGGTCTTATATCTAGTTAGGTACGTCTTAGTTTGCTTAAACTATCGATCCTAGTCGTTAGGTCTACGAAGGATAATAAGCTTGCTACTACTAGGGCGGCTAGCTAATAAGAGGGCTATTAAGGACATGCTAACGTTGCTTTAAAGCGACTATAGAGGCCTAAATAGTTATTGTTTATAGTACCGTTAAGACTATCGATCGATTGTTAAAGGTCTCGTAGGATAGAAAATTCTTTCCTACTATAGAAGTCTCTAACACCGCGGATTAAATCCGGGCTTATAACTATCACGCACAGCGCAGTAGATTACTTACGTAATACTGTATTACCGGCGGTTGAATTGGCTTCGTTGATTGCCTATGTTCTATCTCTTCTATAGTCTAAAATACAGTGTAGAAAATTCTTCAAGCTAAGAAGTCACGTGCCTGTCATGTGACTGAGCTAACGCGTCACACGAACCTTCTCCTACGTCACTCATCACCGACGCACCGTTTAACGGCGCAGTGCTTGGCCTTTGTTGAGATTGCACAGTGGTCCGGCCGCTTGCATCTACCATCCATCCATGATCACTACCACACAGCCACCGACGGCACTCCTTGCGCGCATTTGTAGCGGCATTCTGTTTGCGTGATATATCGTCGCGCCCCATCTGCTTTGCGCGTAACGACGAGGCAATCTCGTTTGGTTGTCTGCGTGCGTGCGAGCGGAGAGAGCGAGGGAACATGGCGACGCCGTACGGATCCGTGCCGCAACCCAGCGGAGACCAAGTCCACCGAGGATATGGCACGCAGCCTACAGACTTCGCGATAGGGAGTAACCCGACGATGAGCTCACCGCTGTCGAATTCCGTCGCGCACCAGGGTCATTCTACCGAAGAGTTCGACGCCAGCCATAGAGGCTCGTCGCTGGTCGATGGTGGCCTGCAGCGCACGTCTAGCCGTGCTAGCACCGTGGGTGGAACGGGCGGCGGCGGCGGCGGCGTGAGTCGGAGCAATACTCTGAGAAAGAAGAACAGCGTCAAGAGGGCGAGCAGCTTGAAGCGCAGTGGCAGCAAGAAGAGCCTCAGAGCCGGAAGTCTGAAGGGTTTTGGTGGCATCGATGCCGACGACGCCAACTTCAACAGCTGGTCATTCACCCCAGTACCAACCAGTGGCACGCCCACCGATATCCTCGCAAACCGCTTCCAGGCCTGGAGACAATTGCTCAAGTCACTGATCACCTACTTCCGCGAAATCCAACAGTCTTACGACGCGCGTCACAAAGCGCTCCACAAAGTGCAGAACACCATTGCGAACATCACGAATCCATCCATCTTTATGACCAATGGCGGTCTTGGCGACGCAACCCGTATTCTTGAGAACTTCCACGCAAAGTCTGTTCGAGAGGCGCAGAAGGCTAGGGATATTGAGACGGATGTCATTCAAGCACTGACAGGTCTGCGAAGTGACCTCGCCCAGAAGATCAAGGAGATCAAGAGCTTGAGCGGCGACTTTAAGAACTCCGTCGATAAAGAGAGGGACGTCACCAGGAAGGAGATTGAGAAATTGCAAGAAGCTCTGCAACACACCGATCATGAGGATGGCGCTGCCACTGGCAAGAATGATCCCTACGTCGTGAGATTGGGTGTCGATCGAGCCATTGAGAGGCAGATTGATGAGGAGAACTACTTACATAGAGTATGCCATGTGCTCCGACAATCTCAGAAATCCGCTGACATTCTTTTAAGGCGTACCTCAATCTCGAGGCTTCGGGACGTGAGCTCGAATCCATCGTCGTCGGAGAGATTCAGAAAGCCTACAATGCCCTGGCTGGAATCCTGAAACGCGAAGCCGATGATGCGTACAACACCGTCGAGAGCCTCCGTTCTGGTCCGATTTCGATGCCCAAGGACCAGGAGTGGTACCAGTTTGTCACTTCCGACGAGCACTTTGTCGATCCCGGTTTGCCATTGCGAAGAGTGGAGGAGATCGAATACCCAGGCAAGCATGCCCCAGCAGCAACAGAGATTCGCGCAGGCATGCTTGAGCGCAAGAGCAAGTATCTGAAGTCTTACACTCCCGGATGGTATGTCTTGTCACCGACTCATCTGCATGAATTCAAGTCTGCGGACAAGATCTACTCACAGCCACCTGTGATGTCTCTATATCTCCCTGACCAGAAGCTTGGTTCGCACTCCGAGCGAGGCTCCTCGAGCCACAAGTTCATGCTCAAGGGCAAACAATCTGGTGGCATGCATAAAGGTCATAACTGGGTGTTCCGCGCAGAGAGCTATGATACCATGATGGCGTGGCTTGAAGACATCCGCAATCTCACCGAAAAGACTGGTGCTGAGCGCAACGCCTTTATTCGGAAACACGCTAGAAGCGTGAGCGGTACGAGCGATCGAGGAACAGTTAGCAGCGATGGCATGGAAGAAGACGAAGCAGACGAGGTGCCGTATTCGGCAGACGTTAACAGCCTAGCGGGACCATCTCCAACGGAAGAGAAGCCTAAGCGGCCGCAACCAGGTAAGTGAGATCAGATCCCACCCTTACTTGCTTGCTTGCTTCGTTGCGTTGTTCTTACCCTTTGGGAGGACGCAGTTACTGATGGCCATAGGCGGACGATTCCCGTCTGACATGGTTCTTCGTAAGACTGGGACTATGAGCTCCACTGCCGACGGCGCCGATGACTCGGACGATGACAGTCCGAATGTGGTTGCAGCTGCCTCAGCATTACCCGTATCATCGCCAGACCGATACGGAGGGCAGGATCCTTACCGACTTGATGATGTTCGAACTGAGATTGGCTCCATCAACGATGAGCCGGGCGCCATTGAACACCAAGCCGCGCCAATTCCCGTCCAGCAGCAGACGATTGCCAGCACTGAGCCAGTTCAGACACAGACATATTCTCTACCAGCCGCGCCAGTACAACCTGTCAACCAAGCGCAACCTGTTGTGCCAGTACAGCAGCAGCAGCCTTTTTTAGGCAATGAGCCAGCGACATCCTTCTCTCAAGTTCAGGAGCCGCTGGCTCGTCATAATAGCGGGTACGGAGACTGGATGGCGCCAGCTGCCGCAGGTGCTGTCGGCATTGGAGCAGGAGCGCTTGGTGCAGAGGCTTATCGACACCACCAGCAAGAAGCCGCTGTTCCCCAACAGATTCCGATGCACGAGCAGAAGTCGCTGAGAGGACTCAATGCCGATGTCGATGCCGATGCCGATGCCGACGCTGGAGCTTTTGTCTTTCCAAACGCTGTCGGCGAGAGCCAGGGCACTGAGGCAATGATACCAAATGTCCCACCAACGAGCAAGATCAATCACGCGCCCGTTGTGGCCGCACCTGCAAGCGCAAACTCCACAAGTGTCGCAGAAGCACCTTTGGGCGGAAACGAGAAGCTTGGCGCTCACGAGACTGGAGCATTCTTCCCTCGCGTAATTAGGCACGACACCGAGTTGTCGGTCAGCCAACTCCATGTGCCTGGAGAGTTCCCTCCGCCGCGAAACGTTTAATCGGATTTGATGTACATTTCTTGGCAACAGCGACAGGAAGACAGGACATGGAACGAACTTGGATACCACCAGTTTGCTTTTTGCTTGGCGTGCAGTCGTACTGCTTGGACCTGAGATGCACATATTGCTTGAGCGTGAGCGTATAAGCGCGGCATTGCGCGTGCTTGCTTGGTTCGTCGTATATATCCCTAGACACAGCGTATTCATTTTGGTGCATGTCCAGGCCCTCTGGGTGCTGCTCACGGGTGCTTGCTCTGCTTACTGACAGCAGAGCCATTATCTGCACCGTGTCATGTTGCAATTTGGCCTCAAGCTGGTCAGGAAACGACATTGGTTGTTGCACGCGATTGATGGTCAGCATCAGCTCCGTTATGCTGCGCTATTCGGACGACCTCCATACCATCTCAAGCATACAGCCGAAGGAAGACGCTCGTGTCAACAGCACCATCTCTTATGCACGCGGCTCCACTTGCAGCGTGTCGGCTCCACAAACTTGGCTCTACGATCCCAGGTCACGCGAGAGACACAAAAACGGTTCTCGCGGCCGGCAGATGGTTGGTCTAGAACACATTATTCAAGCACTCATAGTCTACGAATTGGCTATCTTCTTGGCTGGAGGAGGCATTGCTTGAAGATGATGAGCATACGTGCTGCATTTTCCCGGCACTACGAATTACGACACACGCCACCAGGCTCGTGTGACGTTCCGAACCTTGCGGCACTGGAAAGACTTCTTAAAGTCACCTAAAGGACTCAAATGTGTGCGGAAAATCTTTGGGTAGACAACGGACCTCTTCTCTCAATTTTCCGGAGTCGCAGCGATCTCGAGGCACAGTAGATCGTGCCAGATGTTTCACAAACTCGCTTGCCAACTGAATATTAAGCATTTGGTTCGCAGCTGGTGATTGGTTCGCTTCAAGCAAACGAAATGTAACCTCGGGGTTTATTGTGCCGGAGGCTAAATTTCTCCCCACGGGGGTCCACACGTGCCCTCCACATGGCATGGGAACACCCAGGGAGCTTGGGAGCGATAGATCGTCGCGCAATCCTCATCAGCTACTTAACCCTCTGCCTCTTCGTCTTGTCTTTCCTTGTCCTGGTCCTTGTCGCGCGACCAAGCTTCATACCAAGACTACCAAGTCCTCCTGTCGAGGCACACGTCGAACACCATGGACCACGATCCCGAGTCGAAGACATACCATACCGAAGAGATCGAACACGATGCCGCCTTCAACGAGAAGGCAGGCGTTGCCGATTTCAAGAAAGATGCCATTGAGGCAGAGAATGCCGAGCATGAGATGACTGTGCTTCAAGCCGTCAGAGCATATCCTATGGCGTCTTTCTGGGCGTTTGTCATGTCCTGCACAATTGTACGCCACCGCCTTGGCTGCCGAGCGCCATGCAACTGACAAGCTCTCCACCAGATCATGGAATCCTATGATGTCTTTCTGATGGGCAACTTTCTCGCCCTTCCTGCCTTCACCAAGAGATACGGAGTTTACAACGCTGCCAAAGATGAATATGTCGTCGTGACCAAATGGCAATCTGCCATGCAGGTGTCGGGTCAACTTGGCGCACTCATCGGTGTCTTCCTCGCAGGACCCTTGACCAGTCGTATCGGATACCGATGGGCTACATTGGCTGGCCTCATGCTCTTGAACGTCTTCATCTTCGCCTTCTACTACGGCGACTCGCTTCCAGTCTACTTCGTTGCTCAGCTCCTCGAGGGTCTGCCGTGGGGTATCTTCATTGCCAACGCTCCTGCGTACTGCAGTGAGATCGTGCCCATCAAGCTGAGAGCTCCTGCTACTCAAATGCTGCAGATGTTCTGGGCCATTGGTAGTATCATTGTCGGTGCCGTCACGTACCACTACAACACCTACAACCACGACTCCGCCTTCAGAATCCCCATCGCTCTGCAATGGATGTTCCCGACCCCCCTCGCCATCCTCATTTACTTTGCACCAGAGTCCCCGTGGTGGTTGACGCGTCAAGGACGACACGAGGAAGCAGCCACAGCAGTCCAGCGCCTTGGACGCAAATCTGCCGTCAACGCACCCGAAACCGTAGCCATGATGCGGCGAGTCATCGAACTCGAGCGAAGCGAAAAGAAACCCAATTACGTCGAACTCTTCAAAGGCACAGATCTCTACCGAACCCTCATCGTCTGCGGTGTCTACGCCGCCCAGAACCTCACGGGTAATCTAATCGCCAACCAAGCCGTCTACTTCTTCCGCCAAGCCGGAATCGACACCAACACCGCCTTCGCCCTAGGTCTCATCACCTCCGCCCTACAAATGATCTTCGTCATGCTCTCCTGGATCCTCACAACTTTCTTCGGCCGCCGATCCATCTACCTCTGGGGTTCAGCCGCCAACACCATCCTCCTCGTCGCCCTGGGCATCGCCGCCTCCGTCGGCGTCTCCAACTCCGCCTCCCTAGCCCAAGCCTCCCTAGGCCTCATCGTCTCCGTCCTCTTCACCCTCGGCCCCGCCCCGGCCTCCTGGGTCATCATCGGCGAAACCTCCGCGATCCGTCTCCGTCCCCTCACCACCGGCATCGGTCGCGCGACCTACTACATCGTCGAAATCCCCTGCATTTTCCTCGCGTCGTACATGCTCAACCCCACGGGCGGGAATCTTGGGGGCAAGTGTGGATATGTTTGGGGTGGGACGGGACTCGCGTGTTTGATTACTGCGTACTTTTTCTTGCCGGAGATGAAGGGACGGTCGTATCGCGAGATTGATATCCTGTTTAAACGCAAGATTCCGGCGAGGCAGTGGAAGAAGATGGAGATTGATGTTAATTCTGATGAGTAAGATTGGAAGAGGGGGGGGGGGGGGGGGGGGAAGATGAGTATACACCTTTTGAACGTGTGTTGTTGTTGTTGCAATTTTGAGCTGGATTTGAAAATTTGTTAGGTGAAAATCTAGCCTCGGTTTTGCTGATCAATCTTTCCAATTGTTTCTGATCGTTTCGTCTGCTCTTTTTAAATGTGTTGCTTGCTGGTTCATTGCTGGAATTCACACTGCTTTCGATCGTCTGCACTCCTAAGCTGTGCTCTTCCATTATCCTATTCCCGCGCTGTCCAGTTCCTCGCATCTTCATGTTCTGCTGACCGCCTTGAGAGTCAGGCTATCGTGCATGTCAAGAGCTTGTCAGTGGTGGTGGTATTGGGACTTCTCAACCATCGCCGTCACTCTCAACCTACTTACTAACCCCCTGATCAAATTCCATGGTTTCGTTTGAAGTTCGTATGGTACACTTGAGGCTGATCGACCGCTAGAAGACGGCATGCAGCCGAGAGCGTTTCGCCTTCCTGATCCAAAAAGTTCGCTCATATCTAGATAGGGGATGGATGGATGATTCGTGGGTTCATCAAGATATACCACGCTTGAAGAATTTGGCGGTCTGTAGCGAAGACGGATCAGATCAGAAGAGTTCAGGTTGTGAGATGAGAATGGAGATATGGAGCAAGTGGGAGCGTTTTTTCTTTTCTTTTTTCAAAGCCAGAAGTTGTAAGGATGTCAATCCTGTATTCGAAGTGCGATGGATGGAAACTTGGTGAGTTCGCATTTTTGAGTCCCTACTCTGCAGCGCGGAATGACACGTACCTGACCTTCCCACGCCGAACGAGCAAAGCAAAAGCGGACGGGTTGTTTTCCTCGGAGACTCTGCCAAATTTTGCCCCAAGGCTTCTCTCTTCTCGAGGATTTTTTCTCGCGCGGGAAAGGTAAGAATTCTAGCCATCACGGATACTGTACGTGGCAGAAATTTCCGCAAGAAGGGTCGGGTAGAACGGATCAAATTAAGAGAGAATTTAAAAGAGAATGGTTTGGTAGCATCTCGATCGAAGTTGAAAGGTACGGTCGCTGAAGGACACGGTTGTGGATGGAAAGGTAGTGCCAGATTTGATTCTCAAGAGATTTTGAAATGGGGCGGTGGATTATGATGTTGTTGTAGAGGTAAGTCTTGTGCTAGGGAAGGAAAGGAAATTTGAAGGCATCGAGTTTCATGTCGTGATCAAGCTAATATTGTACTGTACCCAAGTCAAGAAGTTCTTGGGCGAAACCAGCAGCTCAGTTTTGCTCGCAACTCGAGTTTGAAGGGCCCGCTGACAATACTGTCTAGTCAGAAAGACAGCTCATATCCAAATCAACACAGCCATCTACTCCATCCCCACCTCCTCCACAGCCCTCACCAACCCCACCACCGTCTCCCCCCTCGTCTGCCCATTAACAACAACCCTCAAAAAGCTCCCCTCCCTCCCCATCGCATAATCAACCATAAACCCCCTCATAACCAACCCCTTCGCAATCCTCTCCGTCATCCTACTATTCGCCTCAACATCAGCCACCTTCCGAAAATAAAAGCAAACCTGCAAACAAGGCGGCGGATTCTCCGAAACCAACGTGAAATTCGGATTCGAGGCGAGGATAGATGTCAACTGCGCTGCGATGTCGAAAGCATGGTCGATATAATCTCGAAACCCTTGGGTTCCGGAATATATCCAGCTCAAGGCGAGTTTGAGACTATCCCCTCTCCGACCGCATTGGGGGGTGAGATCTGCCAGATCCCAGAATTCTTCTTGCTCGGCACATGTATCTCCTCCATTCCGATGAGCGTCGGAGCAGTGGCGTTCCCCACCGTCCGCATTCCTACCATGAAAAAGATATTCGGCAGGAAGCGTCATCGCTCGCTGAAAATCCCTCAAATCTTTCCCCAAAAGGAAAGAACACGTGAGAGGGACATTCATCATTTTGTGCGGACAGATTGTGATGGAGTCTGCGAGGTGGGAGCCTTGGAGTTTGTGGCGTTGCTTGTCGCTGAAAATTATGGAGCCGCCCCAGGAGCCGTCGATGTGCAGCCAGAGATTGTGGGTTTGGCAGATTTTTGAGATTGGGGGGATGGGATCGAAGGAGCCGAGGACGGTTGTTCCGGCTGTTGCGTTGACGTAGAAGGGGGTTTCGCCGGCGGTTTTGGAGGTTTGGATTGCGAGCGATACTGGAATGCGATGATGCGAGGGTTAGCTGTTGGTTCGAAAGCGACATGTCTCTCTCCATCAAGCAAGTACGACTTGCTAGGTTTGAGAACAACAGATGTAGCAGCACGTTTGAAGCTGCCGCCGTGGACTTACATGCATCTGGCTTCATTCGTCCTTGCGCATCAACCTCAACCGCACGTACAGCATTCGAACCAAACCCAAACATCTGCGCCGCCTTCTCAACACTATAATGCCCATGTACCGACGTGAAAAGAACAAAACGTCGGTTTCCATTCCCTTCAATTTTCGTCTCCGGAAACAAAGTATTCCGCGCAATCACCATAGAACTCTGATTCGCAGCACTTCCACCCGGCTGCGTGATGCCACCAGCATGGACTCCATTCAAACCAAACATCGAAGCCAAAGCACGACCGGTCTGCTTCTCGACAATTGTCAGAGCAGGCGAGACTTGGTAGACGTGGACATTCGTGTTCAGAGAGCTGAGAACCAAATCTGCTGCGAGTCCGACTGGAGTGATGCTGGCGTAGAGCTTGTCGAGGAAACCTTGGTGCCAGGTGTTGACGCTGTGGCGGTATAGCTTTTGGACCATCTCGATGAAGCCATCTCGTCCGAGGCCTTGCTGGGGCAGTGAACAGGCTAAGAGTTGCTGGAGTTGTTGTGGCGGGTTTGGATCGAGCAGAGTCGTCGGTCTGTGGTCGCCAACAGGTTTCGCGTGCTCGGAATACCCATTTGCGTTTGACGCTGTGTTGTCATCTGCAGCTTGAATGAAGGACGTGACTAGACTCTGCACAGCGCTGAGGAGCTAAAGATGCGGATTAGTACCAGGGTACTTCCATTTGGGTGACAAGACCATACCTCTTCGGCTTCCTTTGCTCTTTGAAGAGGCTGCTCTCCGCCCGTCATTCTGGTGCCATTGGCAGTCATCATGTAGACAGACTAGTATTTACACGTCCAAAGGACAAAGGGGCAAGGAAAGTAGGAGTTGATAGAACTTCTTTACATCATGATTGTGACTTGTCGTTCGCCACGGCTATCCACAGAGTAAGAGCAACAGAAAATTACATGTGTACAATCCCAAATATACGAATGATGTCAGGCGGCAATCGGCTCTGGGGTAGTCTCCACTTGCCGAGCACGTGGCCAACAAATGGAGCTAAGCAGATCGTGCAGACGGAAGTGTCGGAAGCACATTAACATTGCTCGATGGCAGCGTATTTGTGTGAGTGTCATGAGGAAAGGGTCCGAGGTTGCTTCACACATGCCTCTCGCTGTCCGAATAGAGTGTCGTACCTTTCGCCCACCAAGCAGACACCTCATGTCGTGGCTATTGGCGTAGGAGCTGGTCTTGGGCGAGTTGAAGGTCCTGCCGAGCCCCGGGAGCTTTTACTGGCTGACTTCCTTTCCTTTCTTGCCATGTCTTTGCTGTCGCGGCTCTTCTCCTTACTCTTCTCAGTCTCGACTTGCTTCGCCTTGTTCTTCGCATGCCGCTCTCTCGCCATTTGTAGTGGAGTCTTGCGCGGGCCGTCGGTCTTCTTCTGATCGAGTTCAGAGAAGCTTTGAAAGCCATCGTTGCTGGCCTTCAGCTTGCTCTGTCTGATCCATTCTCGTCTTCTGCGCTTGTAAATGTCCATCTTCCAGTTCTTCCACACAGCTCGTCCACATGCCGAATCTCGTAGCGAAGCTTCATTTTCAGCCAGCTCTTCGGCAATACGCTCGCGAATGAAGGCCAAGCCATGAGTTCCCTCCCAGATGCAATCCACCACATGTGAAGCAGCCTTGTCCAGGGCCATTTCGCCAATGTTCCCATAGAAGCGTTGGATCAATTTGCGTCGCTGAATAATCGAGGCGTTCTTCGTGGTGAGGGCTTGTTGCAGGGTGCGTGTGATGATGGGATCTCGTGCCATACCGATGAGTGTCTGCGAGTCAAGTGCGATGAGGGAATCGAGAAGTAGTGCACTGAGAGATCCGGAAACTATCAGCATGCCTTGTGCAAGTATGTTGAAGTGCACTTTCGTGGGCTCCGTAGGCCTAGCGAAGAATGTCGATCCCACTTGGTTCGCCTTTTCCGAGCTCACAGCACCGTTCGCAACAACGGGTAGGTCGGCTTCAGTGCTGTTTCGAGGGTGCTGCGGGTTGAGCATTTTTTCGATGTTGAATGTTCCCTTCTCATCCTGGTAGAATTGGTCGATCTGGACAGCAATAGGTTGTGTGTCGATGTCGCGGACCGCACATCGCTCAATGAGAGTCCTGGTGAGGGCGGTCCATTGCTTCTCGAGAAGGGTGGGGATGACGGGTAAGATCAGCTCGTGGGCTTCGAGAAGATCGTCGTAACCGAGTCGCTCAAGAATGGTACAGACAACATGGGTTGCAACTTCGTTCCTGGAATACTGAAGGAGGCGTTCCTTGAAGAAGTTCTTGTACAGACTCTTCCAGAATTTTGCAGGCGAATGTTGAATTATCTTCTCCACGAGATGCGAGCCAACAGAGTCATACACCAAGCTGCTGATGAACGCTGCACTGTCACTTTCCGCGGTGAAAGGATCGTCCGGCAAAAGAGTTCGAAGGATGGAATTTTCTTCTTTGCCTCGTTGCTTCCCATAATAAGTCAGCTCGATGGTAAGTAAGAGCTGAAGAGTCGGGTTTGCCATGGGGTGTGTAGCTAGGCCTCGAAGCTTGTTGGTGTCCAGGCCTACCACACTATCACTCATTAGCTTTTCAAGAGCGCCGGAGAAGGATTTAGGTACAGGCCTCGACTTCGATGTAGAGTCGTCTCCAGTACGAATGCCACTCTTCTCAGAATGGCCTTCTTTTCGTTTGCTGCCTAGGAGTGCCTTCATCGAGTCCGTCGAAATGGCCTGGCCGGAGAAGATCAGGAGTAGAATTCGCAGCGAGTGAGAGGCATATCGATCGGTCAGGAGGAATCCGATGTTACCCTCTAGCTCAGCGATGGTATGCAGAAACAAGTTCTCCATTGATACGTAGAGCTCGTCAACGCCGGCTGGGAGTTCGGCCCGCTTGCCTTTAAGCTCTTCGCTGACATGAGGCGCGGCACACGTAAATAGTGTTTCACAGCAATGAGAGGCGAATCTGTGAGACAAGAGGTGGATGAAGCTGTGCATGGTTAGCACTGGCTAGAACAGAGGTCGTTATAGGCAATACGGACTTCCCACTGAAAGCCTGGAAAACTTGTTTGAGTTGAGCGGAAGTTGATGATCGTAGCACGCGTTCCAGTAATCGTGAACATGACTGACTGCATGCAAGCTTCAATTCTTTGCCAGCGGCCTCCTTCCAGATACTGCTTAAAAGTTGCGCTCGTTCTTCAGGAGTGGCAAAATCGTCGGACTCGAGAAGTTCTTCCTGGGCCTTGAAAAAGGTTTGCTCGTCCTCATCCAGCATGCCGAAAAATGCCTTCTCCGTGGAGGGGTAGGCGGCGGACACATCTTCATGCATTCCATGGTGGAGAGACATAAAGTCGTGCTGCTCGCCACTCTGATCGATGGACTTCTGGCGCTTATTGCTGCTCTCTGCCACCGTCTCCTCGGCCTCGTCGTCATGCTTGCGTTTGATGCGGCGCCCGCGCTTTTGAAGAGCTTTGGGCATGTTTGCGTGTGATGTCGTGCTGCGAAAATGTCGAAAATCTCTGCCGACGTCGGGAAGAAAGGCGGAGGCGGAGGCGGAGGCGGAGGCGTGGGCGTGGGTAGGCGCAGGAGTGCAGCAGGGTAAGGAACACGAAGGCCAAGTACACGGCGCAGACGGTGAGGAGGAGTCAGGATGGAGGGGATGGTGAAGTGTGTCGAACAGGCGAAAAAGGATGCAGTGGGCATCCGATCGTGCGGCTATCTAAGATGTTAGCGCGAATCTGGATCGATCGAGCAAGGGTGCATGCACAATGTAGTCATCGCACTTTGACTTTGCCTGTTTTCCGAACAACCAATCACGCTGCACCACGCAGTAAAGCTTGCCAGAAGTGGAAAGCGCGTCCAATAGAGACCTTTAGCAGGAGGTGTCGCTGTCCACCTCCGATAACAACTTCTGACTGATAGTTCACCACCTGTATCCACTGTATCTACTATACTACATGTAGCCAATCGATTGTAATGCCGTAGGTCGTAATGCAATAAGTCTATTGCTAAAGGAGGTGGATACAGAAGCGGTATAGTAGCCTTAGCGATAGTAACTATCTTCCCCTGCAATATCAAACCTTCTATCGATCGCTCTATAGTATGCTAAATAATAACACCTTCGGAGGCTCTACACTACTAGCAGTATGTCTATTGTGATATATTACAAGCTCTTAATAATAGTTAAGGTCGTACGAATGATGTAGATAGTATATAATAGTATAGAAGGTAACGTTGTTAGATAGAAAATTCGAGTAGAAATCGGGCTTCGTAAGGGACTCGGAGGGATAATAAGGCGGCTAGAGGACTCGAAGGCAGGTAGTAGATCGCTCGTCTTCCTATCCTACTAATTTGTTAGCGAATCGAGATTATTATAGCCTTCCGCAATACCTTCGTAGGTCGCTATCTCCCCTCCCCCTATCTACTACCTAGAGTTATCGATTTAGCGACTAGATCTAGTAAATACGCCTCTCCGGCATCTATGCCGCTACCAACTACTCTAGTAAGTCAGTTACGGCTATCTCTATTACCTAGACCTTCGCTATCAATTAAGACCGTAGAAACACTGTCTTAGAAGGGCAGTAGTAATATAGCTCACCTATTAAAGCTAGGCAAGCTATCGGCTCGAATAGAGTTAGTTGTCTTCTAGTAAATAAATAATATAAAGTATGCCTATAAGAAGGGCAATATTACTAACTTCTATCGGCTTGTTAGAGGTCGTATAAATGCGTAGGCTCGTACTAATAGTAAGAAGGAGTTTAGCAGTGATTCTAGCTTCCGATAGAGCTATAACGTTAAGTTAATTAAGAGGGTGAAGGAATAGGCCGCTAAAGAGCGCTCTACTAGTATAGCGCCTAGTAACGATAACCTCTCGCAAGCGAAGGACTTCTTTATTAAACACGCTATACGTATAAACCCTTAGCTCTTCGACAAGGTAGCGACAAAGGAATAGAAGGAGGCGGCTCGGCGTAAGGAGATCGTTGTCCGCGATAGTCTAATAGATAGGTTAGGCTCGAAGCGACGTCGATTGAATAGCAGCGGCTCTTCTTAGGCGACCTCTGCTAAGCCGGAAGAATCTACGCCTTCGCCTTCTACACCGTCGACGACTTAGCGGATGCGACTGCGCCGCCGTAAGCGTAATAACAACGCCTCGATTAACAGAGCGTTCTCGAAACTAAACGAATTGCTAAAACCGCACTTCGAGAAGATTAAGGAGGGCCTAACCGCCCTTAATTAGTACTATATTCGAGGCCTAACTAATGGTTAGAAGAACGAATTACAGCACCTTAATGCTACTATTGTAAGTGCTATTATCTCTCTCTTAACTAGCAACTCACTAATATTAGCTAGACGGTAACAGGTGTATATCCGGATTGCACTCGAGTGCTATTACAGGTTATCTACCGCAGGAAGAGCAAGATGCTAATGCTAGAGCTATTCGAGCGCTCACCGAAACTAGGCTTCTTATAGTAGATAGGGTGGTCAGATCGCTACGATTAGGATTAGAATATAGACGATATTAAGGTCCCCGAGGACTTTTTCGACTCGGAGGAGTAGGTAGTGGTTGTTATAGTATAGAGTTCGTTTTGTAGGATTAGTTGAAGCAAATCCCTACTTATTTGTTAGCAATATTGCTCTTTAGTATCGATTTAGCGAACCAGTTGCTCCTGCCGTTGCCTTGTTATTCTCTCAATCGCGAGATTATCGCTAGAAATTTAGGAAATAGGAGGAGGGGTAGGGTTAGTAGTATATAACCATTACTTAGTAATGGGTTAATAACATCGCCGAGACATTACGAGAATCGCGCACAGACGCTCTGGTCACCTATTTTCGCTGCTTTCTAGATATATACTAATAGCTCGAAATGTACTCGCTCCTATAGTGCGAGTGCTAAGAATACCGTTAGAATTGTGAAGCTATACTTTAACTTCTCGACATAATCGTCGTTCTTCTATTACTATTACTACTACTATTACTATCGCTACCCTCGTCTCCTATCGCCGGCGACGCATACCTATCTCCTTTATTGCCCTTATTACCTCGCTCTAGTCGCGGCGGTCGCTATCCTAGCGGTAGAACCGTCTCAACTAAGGCTCTAATCTCGTTACTAATTTGAGCATTAGTCGCCCTCGAATGGAGGTATTCTTCTAACAATAGTGGATCTATACGACCTATAGATACCTAATTACTATAATAGCAGGTGTAGCAGTTAGTAAGAAGAACGTACGCTCGATAGATAGATCTAATAGCCTATAAGTCCGCCTTCTGCTTAACTAAGTTAATCCGCTACAGATTAGATATCTATCCGAATATATGCTCTATAGCAACCCTCAACGCCGACATCTCTTAGTCTATCTGCCTCTATAGCGGCGTACGAGGCTAACTATTCTGACCTTTGAAAGCAGATATAATACTATCCGCTACTGCGTACGCCGAGTCTCCGTAAATAAACACCTTATCGTCCAATCCGTACCTATCGAATAACGCATACTAAATCCACTAAATATTAGATTCATACACTATCCGAGAATCCCCGAAAGAGCTAGGTTTAGGACTATACAGCGACGACAACAGACCGTTAGGAGTAACAATAGCCTAGAATTTGATGCCGTATACTCTCTTGTGTCCGCTATAGTACAGCTTTTGGTCGTACTTAGGCCTGCAGCAAGGACGAAGGGTACTATTAATGAATCTATATACTTTAGCAAGACTAATGTCCGGTTCTAGTGCCTCTGCATACCTCCGCAAATACTAAGGGGTTAACCGACGAGTGTTAAACAATAATCTGTCGCTAAAGAAGTCGTCCAAGTGCTTGAGAACAGTATTAAATACAATACTAATCCAGGTCGGCCCTCTACTAAACTCGTACGCTAGCGACTGCTAAGTAGCACTGCTTGCGAGTCGCTGTAGAAGCACTAGCAACGCCTCTTCCTTAGTAGGTTCTATGCGGTATAGATACTCAATCTAGTCTAATTTGAGCAACCTTACGAGCCTATATAGATCCTGCTTTTAGAAGCGAAATCTACGCTTATACTAATCGTTAGTTAGGTCCTGCAACCTCGTCCTTTTGAGCCGGTTATAATCGTTAGGATACAGGCTCCTTATTTGATCGCCTTCGTACGCCTCGTCGGCCTCGTCGTCTACGATAATATCGACTACCGACTCGAGATAGGCGCTAGCCGCTTGTCCGACAACCACCTAATAGTCTAGCAATAACTGTCTTACTTAAGCGTCTATTAAGCCTGCGGTTATAGCGACAACACTACTAGCTGAGGTCTATATTAAAGAGCCAGGTTACATCACTGTGGATACGATAACTAAGCAGCTAAGAGGTGGCAAAAGGAGGTTGCTAAACTACTCGGAAGAGCCGTCTCAAATAGGCCTAGTTACCAACCCTAGTGAACACTACTAAATTCTAACACTCGAGATTGCTAAAGGTCTCTAATACGGCTTCGATACGGTATTACCAGTGCCGTGGATTGCTCCCTTTCTTACGTTGTTATAATAGCGAAGGTAGCGTCGGGGGGTCTAATAGTAATGTATATAAGGAGGATAGAGTAGGTCTAGTCGGAAATTAGAGGTTCCGCCGGGGAGCCGATTTCTTAGCATTCTATACACAATTCTGCTCTTCTAGCAAACAATCTATTTTGTACCTCGTCGTCGCTGTCGCTATCGCTCTACCTTACTATCGCCGTCGCTGCTCTTACTATCGCAATAGACACCTATATTAAAGGCCTCGCAGATGCCGTACCTAGCTATATTAAAGGCCTCGAAGAAGCTATAGCCTTCGACTTCGCTACTACCGCCGCCGAGCTCGAGAAGGTAGTATTTAATACGTAGTTTAACGCAAATAGAGATATTAAGAAGTATAGTATTAATAAGCTAATAATAGCGGAAGATATAGCGGATATCTTTAATAGAATGCGGCCTATCGACTAAGACGATTTGCTACTCGATTTAGCTAGTCTCGACGGTAGTAAAGAACTTAGTAGTAAAGACCTCGCTAGTAAAGAACTCGGTAGTAAAGAACTCAGTAGTAAAGAAGATACAGAAGGCGACATTATAAGTAAGGAAGAGCTAACTAATAAGACGAAGAAGGCTTCTCGTAGCTATAACGAGTTTAAAAGCCGCTAGCGTAGTTATTACTTTAACGCGTCGCAAAGGTTAGTAGCACCTATTCTAGCTAATATCGCTTCGTAGCAACAATTGCTATTTAAATTGCGACTAGAGCCCTTCTAGGTTAGTAAGGACAATAGAAGCACTTACTAGCTGTTAATTAATAATATATAGTATACTAATAGCGCTTACCTTATGTCCGCCTTTAAGTATATATATATCTTTAGCTTTAAGTATCGCCTTAGTCGCAAATAGCGCGCCTTATAGGCCGACAAGTCGAAGAAGTCGAATAATAAGAGGCTTCGTAATACTAATAAGGACCGTAACCTCTATAAGGCGCGCCTAAAGGTTAAGGTGTTATATAAGCCCTATAACGAGACTAATACTACTAGAAACCTCGTTAAGAATAGTAAGAAGGAGTTTAAGCGTATTAAACCGGTTAAATACTAGTTTTCGCACTAAAGTAGGGATTAGGCGCCTTATAACTATTCTCTCGAGGTTTCTAACCGTAACAAGTTAAACTCCTTCTAGCGGAAGGTAGTTAGTAAGGAGAGGCAAAAGGGCTATAGGGCGGCGGAGGTAAAGGACAATATAATAGGCAAAAACGCCCCTAGGCAATATAAGGTCCTTAAGGCTTCCGGAGGCCTTAGTTTTAAGCGAATGTGCGTTCTTAATAGCGCTCGAGGCTTCCGCAAAGCATACCCTAATATCCGGTATACTAGCGGTCGATTAAGTACCTCGGTATAGTTATTAGAGTTAAGAGATTAGTTATTAGAGTATAAGTTGTTATTTCCTCGAAGTATTAAGAATTGGATATGTAACCGCTAAGCATCTAAAAGCGGTTTAGCGTATATCTTAGCGCACTCTCTAAGTAGCTAATCGGCGCGGGACTACCCTTTCTCCGATATTATCCTACCTATTTTCTGTATTTAGAATCTTCCTCGAATACTAACTTACAACAACAATAGCACAATACCTATACGAATACGTCGAAACTAAGCATTATTAAAGTAGTGCCGATACTGTTAGATACGTATTTGCTAAACCTAAAAGACTAGAGCTTCTATAAAAATATAGGCGGCTTTGTTTAATAGATTCGACTTATAAGACGAATTTCTTAGGTTAGAAGCTATTTACTATTATAGTACGCGATACTACCGGTTCTTAGCGCTGCCCCTTCTATTTTCTTACGGAATACAAAGACGGCGACATTATATTATTATATATACTTGTCGCTAAGAGATAGTGTCGAGAAAATAGTATACGGTAGACTTCTAGGTACTAGATTATAGACGATAGCGGAGCTAAACAGCGGGCGGTTAAAATCGCGTTTCTAGGCCTTATTATAGGTAAGATAGAAGTGACCTATTATCTCTACTATAAGCACGTCGATACTACACTCTACGAGCGCTTTAAGGCCGACAAATATAAGAAGACACTAGATTATATGCTAGTCGCATTAAAATTTAGAAGAACGGAGCCTAGTTATAACGACTCGATAAATAAAGCTATTAACGCCCTTCCGCGCGACCTCTACGGCTAACCTAAGCGAGAACAACTTAAATACATTAAGAACGAGTTTGTTAAGACTAAGCGAATATAGGCTAATTTTGTACGAGAACACTTACCTCTATATATACAGATTAAGACTACTAATCCATTAGAAGGCCTATATTCTTGTCTAAAGAAGGGGGACCTTAAACGCGCTATAGCGGCGTTCTTACTAAAGGGCATTGCTGTCTACGTCGACAATATAGCGAATAGGTTCGACTATAGGGCTAATATTGCTTTTTATAGCTTCCGCTTAAAGATATACCTAATTGTCTACTCTTAGAAGTAGTTAAAGCCGCTTCCTTACCCTATTTAGGCACTTATTGCCGCCGAGATTGCGCTCGGTAAGCTAGAATTTAATGCTAGCGATATTAGAGACCTCGACAACTATAACTTCTACGAGTACGCCTTCTACCGGAAGTATTAGATTATATACCGCTATATCTATATATAAAACAAGCTCTATAACAACCTCTCCGCTAAAGACTATACTACGTAGATATAGGGTTAGTAAGAGAGCGGCTTCGAGTTATACTTTACTCGAGAGCGTGTTCTTATTAACCTAGAGCCGGAGATAACAATAAGACTAGAGCGACGTACTATCGAGATAAAGGAGCAGGTATTTAATATCCGAGAGCGCTTCTATAACCTCTGTAACGAGTTAGCTAATAGTATAGACAACGATATAGCCGACAAAGCACTTACTAAGTAGTTGTCTCGAATATAGGCGGCTATAGACCCTATTGTTGCCCTCTTAGTCGCTAAGCTAGTTATAGAGGTTTAGTTACTCGGCCTTTAGGTACCGCTAGCACTATTACGTCTATAGCTATATTAGATAGCAACTGCACCGACAAGCTCTTATAATCGGTCGCTATAAGATACGTCGTCTATATCCTAGTATTTACTTACTTAAGCAACGCGTAGTAATAGTAGTAAGAGGTCGAGAAACGCGTAGAATAGGGCGGCGGCGGCGGCGGTCGTAGTAGTGCGGCAGTAACAATAACAATACCTTAAATTAAGCGATATTGCTATACTATATATAGGCTTTAGCTTTATTGTTATAGCGTAGCGATAGCGAGGTTAGAGGGTAGTAAGGGCGAGAGGAAACGCGTAGTTTATTTACTAAGATTCAAAACAGTAGAAGGTGCTAACAATAGAATCCGTATCTCGTAATCTCCGGTTCCGGTAGACCCACTCTGTCCTCCTTATATGCATCACCGGTCTGATGCACATTGCACATGGAAAATGGCACTGTCCGTGCTGTCCTGCTGCAGAAGACCAACTCATGAGACCAATATCCTATACCGCACCGCTATGCCTTCACGAACCACTCAGAAATCCCCATCTGAGCCTCGCTTAAGTTACCTGCAGGCCTGCAGACGCTTGAACGGAGAACACCCGACATCTCCGTACACATCCATGATCGACGCCACCTTGTCACACCTTCGCTGCCATCGGGGCCCAATGCTGCAGGCATTCTGACACCGTCCCACTACATTTCCGTAAATTCGTATCGTCGTATGCTGTGACCGGCGACCGGCCAACATCGTTTGTGGCACGAAGGCCTGCCTCGATTGGCGTGCTCGGAGACGATTGCTCACCGATCGGAAGAAGTATCAATACAGGTGTAGTATACATGTAGTCTCCATCGGAGTCTTCGCCAAGGACATGCAGCTCTCGCAGCGGCGGCCTTGGCGTGGGCCGTGCAAGTTGGCAATCCTTCTCCAGACCATCGCAAATTGCGCTGAAACTGATGAAAAATGCGAAGCCAGCAAAAATTGCGCCGATGCCGCCCCCGAAGGAGAGGTACTGGCAGGAATACCGCTCTGTGCAATGCAGATTCTCTTCCAGGGCGAGCCCTATTCGTGAGCAAGGTCACCTCAACAAGGCTGTAGAAGATGTTAGCAGATGTTCAAAGTGTGGGGGTGGATGGGGAGACGTGCTAAGTTATGGAAAGGGAAGAGGAAGCTCAACCTTTGCGACTTCGAAAGATGAGCTGCTGAGATTACGCTAAGCACTAGCGCGGCGCTAGGGAGTCAGTGCTGGAGAATACCCGCGTAATTGGTGTCATGATGTAGACCTTAGCATGGGTCAGAGGCCGAGTACAAACAAGACTGTTCCGCGACGCATCACGACGCGTCCTCCCGAGCTTCGTCAAGACTGAAAGACGTATCACCATACAGCATCCAAACCGCAGACGCCGCCCGCACGGTCCTCATGGCGTCGAGCAACGCAGAAGTAACGATCCCAGAAACCATAGGTGGTTTCAGAATCCGACATCAGAACGACAAATGCCACACGTGCGGCAACAAGAGCGCAAGTGACGCGCTACTCATGTGCAGTAAATGTCACTGGGCTCTATACTGCGACGCCTCCTGCCAAAAGGCACACTGGGAGATCCACAAGCGGGAATGCAAGGTCCTGACATCCAACCCTAAGGCATGTTCCGGACCACCTTATACATCTCGTCAAATGGTTAATAGCGATGTACAGAAACTCAGGATCGGCTTTGGGCATGGATTTGATCATGTGCGAGAGGTCATGGAGTGCATTCGACGAGCAGGGCTCAACCATACGGTCAAGACCCTGTGTCTCACGCAACTTTACAACGCAGCGGAGGGCACGACCGTCTACATATTCGAGGAGCCAATGGATAGCAAGGACTTCCAGAACAGGGTGTGGTCCTGCAGACGAGAGGACTAGAATCTGCCCGTTGACTGCAGCTCCTGGCAGCACAGAGAGCACCAATCGATGCTTCAAGTCGCTATCGATGACACTGATCTCGGTCACCCTTCATACTCGCGCATGTGGATAGCACGCATTCTTGGCATACTCTTTGGAGCTCATGCATCGCCGCTATGCGACATCAAGAGCCGTAGGACCAACCCGTGGCGATACGCAATTCCATTCTTGTTCCAGCCAACTCCGCCACGGGGCATGTTGTCGAAATAAGCGCTTTTTCGGATGTCTAATAATATGCCACGCAACAGCTTTTCCTGGGCCCAAGAGTGTTTTCGTGACACGAGCAATAGGGCTCAAGTTTCGCCAAGACTCAGCTCCTCCACCGCCTGCACGTTCGGAATGAATCGCATTGGCGCCAAGAGCGACAGTGGTCTCGAGGCGATATTGCGCCGACGCACTACGACTTTGAGGGTGCTATCAGAGGTTCTCCGAACGACCTGCAGTGGCAGTGGAATGAAAGGCACCATGGAAAAGGCCGGTTTCAAGAACATTCAAGTCCAGCGATACGATATTCCAGTCAGCGGCCATATGGCTGCAAATTCCGAAACAAAAGCTCAGGGATATGCATGAGCAGTCTACGATATCATCCTTCGACGTGCTGCGACCTCTTTCGGTCTTGACCATGCCGATCTGACTGCTATCTTGGAAGAGAAAGACGGCACCCTGCCCGCAACATCTAGTATCCATTCCAGATTCTACATCGGCCCAGGTACAATCAGCTCATTAATCAACAACCTCGCACCTAAATTAATCCCAGATCCCTCAAAGCGAACAAAATCTTTACACCGTTAAAATCCGACCAATTATGGAAAGTCTTCCGAGTTAAAATCCACTACGACAAATGAAGGTACTGCCACCCGGAGTCACAACAGAGGAATCAGCCGAATGGAAAAACGATTTCGTGGCGGGATGTTCTCAGCTTACATCTCCGTTGACTGCTACAGCAATCATCATCATCCCGCACTAAGCATTCAACGGCCCAGCTCCTCCATCCGAAAGCGTCCCATCTTCAACGAATCAGCTCTACTCAAGGAATACAAAGTGGAGTTGAGTTGAGGGACACTTACCATCTGCGGTCTCGAGTGATCTGGCGCGCGGCTTTGGAGTTGGTTTTCTATGGTCGCTTTCTGCCGGCTCGGCCAAAACCTTGAGTGCAAGAAGACTGATCAGAAGTGCGAGGATTTGCATTTTGAAGGGGGAAAGAAAAAACAATTGAATTGAGATGGTTGTAGAGGGTTCAAGTGTCAAGATTGACTAGAACGAGCTCCTGATGCTGTTCTCCAACATGTGCTCCCGCACAGCATCTTATACAAATTCCTTCCTTCGTTACGCGCGCCATTGAAGCCGCGTGATATCGATTTCCAAGAATTCGATCGAGGCTCCGCGAAAATAGAAAGAAGGTCGTATACTTGGCCAAGATCCGGACGAGGTAATCATAGCAAGAATTGTTCGAGCTCTCGACAGATGCGAGTCTGCTTCTTCGATAGAGTGCATCATGTCATGGAACAACAGCTGTATGGTGACTGGTTTTGGTTTGATCCATGCCAACTTGGCATGCGCGTCATCCGGCTCGAACCCAGTCTATAAAAGAGTTTGGTGCATGCATCCTGGCTTCAGGGTCGTGTTCATGTGATTAGGGCCCGGATTTGGAAATGGTGTTCCAATTCAGGTCGAGCAGCTGTGCGCGAATGCCAGGTCTCGTTGTGATACTTGATTTCTCTATGAGATTCGCTGTGGTGTCGTTCACCAGCCTCCCCGACCGGAAATGGGGATCGTCGCCAGTGTCGAGAGCATCTCTTACCCCTGTAAAGACGTCTCCTAGAGAAGAAGTGCTATGCTTGGCATGCGAGACCGCCGCGTAGGGGTCCTGTAACCACCGTGTAGCATAATGCATGTCTATGGACAGTATGTACTTCATCTGCCCTTGAAAACGGGCTTCCTCTTTTCACCGAAAGCCTTCAGCGCCTCCGTCCTGTCCTGAGTGTGCAAAATAGTCTCATACGCAGCATTCTCGCTCTCTTCACCCTTCTCCCAACCATTAACAGCTTGCATTGCAGCACGAATAGCGATAGGACCGCCTTCGCAGATAGTCTTCGCCAACTCAACCGCCTGCTCAAAAACCTTGCCTCTTGCCACACCGGCACCATTCAGCTCATCTTCCGAAATCTGCACCAGTCGATCACACAAGCCAATAAAATACGCTTCTTCTCCTGACACCCGTCTCCCAGTAAGAATCATATCTCTTGCACGACTCTGTCCAATGATGGCAGGAAGTCTATATGTTCCACCTCCACCTGGAATGATGGCGAGTCTCGTCTCCGGCAAGCCCAGCGAAGCTGTCGAAGCAAGGACGCGGAAATGCGTGCATAGAGCTAGCTCGAGGCCGCCTCCGAAGGCCGTGCTACCGATGGCAGAGATGGTCGGGATGGGCAGGGACGCGAGGCGGGTAAAGGTAGTTCGTAAATTTCTGAGGAACTCGCGTGTGCTGGATAGCACAAGATCTCAGCCATGAGCGCAAAAAGTCAAAGTGTCTTGCCTGGGCTCACTCTTCTTCAGTGAACGTCAGACGCTCCTTCAAGTCGGCTCCAGCGCAGAAGGCATCATCGCTCTCGGACGCTAGGATCAGCGCTCGAGTGCTGCCCTTCCCGCCTTCGGCGTGGACTTGGTCTACGATGCCGCGAAGCTCGGAGAGGAGCTGTCGGCTGATGGCATTGCGGGCCTTGGGTCGGTTCAATGACACCACGGTGATTTCACCTGCGTGTGGGGCTTTGATGGTGGATAATTTGATGGGCGAGGACAGGCTGCCTCCGGATGAGCTGCTGTAGAATGCGACAGGAGCTTTGTGCCATTGCCGTTGCCGCAAGAGTCGCGAGCAGCCTAGAGGAGGCCGCACCGTGAGAGACATGGTGAACACATGTCGTCACTAGGAGGGAATAGGCAGTTTGGCTAGGAGGTAGCAGCAAGGAATCCAAAGGAAGCTAACCCCCTTGCGGGGAAACGCACTAGGAGGTCATTTGAAGTATACTAGGACAGTACAGAGACTATAGAGACCTATTTACTACTATGTATAGTATTTAATCTAGTAGTTTCTTTAACTACTATATAAGCTTATTACTAGAGCCTTTTTAAGACTCTTTTTTAGACTCCTTTTTATTATTCTAGCTAGTATTAGTAGTATATATAAATTATCTAGTAGATACGTCTATTCCTAGCGCTATAGTCTTTTTTTAAACTAAAATAGTATAAAATAAATATACTATCTTTAATAGCTCTTAGAAGCCTAATCTAGCTATTAAAACCTAATATAAGTAAAGTCTTCTATCTAGCCTTAGCGATAGTTATATAAAGATCTTGTAGGATAAAGATATAGTTTAGTAGATAGTAGTATGTTTTGTTTTATAATCTTATAGAATAAAGATATAGGCTAGTAGATAGCAGTATATTTTATTTTATAGTTAGTCGCTTATTATACGTATAGCTATTACGGATCTAATTGGTTAGAGTCCTTATATAATCTTAGAGCGACGCTAAGACTAGTAGGCTAAGCTATCGCTCTATCTTACTAGGAGCGATAGGAGCGGTCGAGAGCGATAGCGTCGCTTACGTCGCTTACGACTATAGACAAGATATCTCCTTTGTATTTAGGAACGCCGGAATACCCTTATAGCTCGAGGCGTTTAACTTATGTTACCTACTTACTAATTAGAATTACCTTTATAGTAATTATTCTATCTCTGCCTTCTACTTATATTAGCCTCTCTAAAGAAGCCTCGGCTTGTACGTAATAAGAAGTTACCTAACGATCTGTCGCGAGTAACCGTAACACTTTAAACGCCCTTAGGATAAGTACCTTATTACAAGTCGGAAGGGGAACTCCCGCCCCTAGCGAGATAGGCAGTACTCGACGTACTACCTCTAGTATTAGTAATATACTAGGAACCTATACCGGAAACGATTCTCTTAAGATCGGAAAGCTAGACTTTTATTATAGCGACCGAGACAAGTTCGATACCTAGGTTAGCTAGATAGATATATATTTCATATTTAACTAGGTTTAAGATAACTTAAAGCTAGTCTTCGTAACGACGTTTACACGAGGCAGGGCTTAGCATTAGGTTAAACCATTTCTTAGGACCTATCTAGATAGCAACGGGACCGACAATTCGGATAGAATCTTCGCAAGCTACGAAAATCTTAAGCGTGCGATAAAGAAGGTCTTTAAATCTTCTAACGAGGTTGCTACTATAGTTAGGGTTATCTAACACTTAACTTAGAAGGGGTTATATGCCGATTACGCCGCTAAATTTTAGGAATACGCCTAACTTACGGATTAGGACGACGAAGCTCTTATAATAATATATCGGCGAGGTCTTAAGGATAACGTTAAAGACGAGCTTATACGCGATAGTAGAAAAATAGATAATATAGGAACATTAGTTAAGGTTACGATCGATCTCGACGATAGGCTCTACGAACGAGCTTTAGAACGACGTTACGATTCTAAGACTTCTAGAAAAGCTAGTTATACTCCTAGATACGATAATAGACGAAACTATAGTACCTACGATAAACTAAAGAGGAACAACTACTACGGTGCGCAACTAATAGAGCTAGACGCTACTTAGAAGGGTCGAGCAATTAAAGGAAGAAAAGGTAAGAGTTCGCCTAAGAAAGTAGGAAGATTAACTTACTATACGTATAGCAAGGAAGGCTATATAGCACGGAACTGCCGCGGTAAGAATATAGTACGACGCGAACAGTTTAATATAATATAACAAAAGGACTCGGGTAGAGAAGGCTACCGAATAATAGTAGAGCTATACTCTATTAATAACGCGCCGAGGAACTACGTAGAGGTCGTAAAGAAAGAGCTACGACAAATCTATATAATAGTACGACGATAAGAACCTATATATAGAACCCTTTACTAGAGATTCTGTTATAACGACTAATACTAAATTTATTATTCTACTAAAATAGAAGTAGGATTCTTCCCTTAGATTAGGCGACTCGTACGAGAAGATGCGAAATCTTAGTTAGAAGAAGAAACGATTAATAAATCTTACTTAGACGCCGACGATAAAGAAAACCGAGATCCGGAAGCTTTATTCCCTCCCGGGGAGGAGTTAGGAGCTATCCTAGAAGTACCGGAGTCCTCTTAGTAAGAGGAGGAACAGTAAGAAGATTTAGAAGGAAGTCTAGACACCGAGGAAGAGACTACGAATAAAGAAAGTAAAGACGAATTCGGGATTAATAACGATACGATCCTTACGTTTATAATAGATATACCTATAGCAGCGCGAACAATCGCCTTATATTTAGTACGCAAATACGAGGAAATGTTTCTAAAGGTTAACGGACAACGGAAGGTAGATCCTATCTAATTTAATTATTTCTAGATAAGCCTACAAGCAAAATTCTAGAATTACCCCCGGATACCTATAGACTATACGTACTATAACTTTATTACGGAGCGAGTACCGATAGGAAGTATAATTACGCCTTACGGATACGTCCTACCCGACGAAAGGACGATTATTACTTAAGAGATACGTTAGACGGTCTAGCGATTAAATTAGCAATACCGAAAGGCTATAGTAGCGTAGGGACGGGATGTATATAACGATACCCTCGAGGAAAAATTATATACCGAAGAAGCACGAACGGTAGGACTACGGATCCGTAACTAGTTAGAACAACGTTAGGCTACTAATTAGTCGGGAAACGGACTAACTCTCTAGATTAGAGCGTTCTAAGAGAGTTCCTTAATACCGAAAGCGCTTAAGTATTAATAGTAGTCTTCTGTATAAAAGTTATCGTTAACGGGCACCCGACGAGTATATTAATAGATTCCGGAGCGAGCGGGAATTTTGCCTCCGAATTATTCGTTAAAAGCCGAGGGATCGTAACCCGAAGCAGAAAAGAAGGAGCGTATAAACTTATAGCAGTAGATAGGTTACTGCTACCTAGTATAGAACGAGAAACGATACCGTTACTACTAGCTATCTAATAGTACTACGAAGAGATTGTCTTAGATATTACTAACATAGCTAGTTATAATATTGTATTAGGTATACCTTAGTTAAGAAAGTATAACTTAGTCGTAGACTAGAAAAGAGGAGTACTTACATTTAAGGAATGCGACTATATAATCGGCATTCAACCTATATAGATAGATAGATATTTCATTTGCCTGTTGTAGTGCCTTTCGGCCTATGCAGGTCTGTTTCTATGTATTGTTTTAGGTAGGAAACTAACTTAGTTAGTAAAAACCTCCCTCCTATCCTATTTATAAGTGTTGATCTTCCTTGTTTCCTTGTTCTCCTTCCTCTAGGATATACTAGTGTTATAGTTGTTACCCTCTAACTACCTTGCCTACTGCCCTACCCTTCTTTCCCCCTCTTCTTCCCTCCTTCTTATCTACTCCTTAGTTTCCCTTGCTAGTACGAATTGTTGTATAAATCCTTGTTTAATGATCTACTTCACTATCCTCTTTAGGTCTTCTTTACTCTAGATTAGTTTATCGTATTCCCTTTCTATTGCTTTTAGTCTCTAATTACTTCTGCCTTCTAACTATTAAGGGCAGACTAGTAGTATATACTTAGGGTTCTAAGATTGGTAGCTATATTAGTAAGCTTTCCTAGGACGTTTCTTCTAAATAGGTAAGATCTGAATCTAATGTATTTAGATCTGATTTAGATAGCTAGGCTTGCCTCGGCCCTATTTAGGTCCTTATAGAGCTAGTAGTTATATTGACCAAATTTGATTAGTGCCTTTAGGGTTCCTAGTCTAACTTGTGTTTTGTTCTATTCCTACTCCTATAGGTATCTAGCAATTGATTCTGCTAAGCTTTGTTTCTCTCCCTTTAGTTTATCTTCCTTTAGCCTTGTATTTAGTCCCTAAAGCTCTTTCTCTAGCATTTCTCTTGTTAAGACTCTATATTGCTCTAGGTCTTTAACTTTCTAGGGAGTTATTTATAGTCTGTCTCGCCTCCTAGTCCTAATGTACTAGGCTTTTATCTTGTCTAGTGCCTTTTAGATAGTCTATTAGGCTAGGTATTCTATTGTCTTTGCTATATATTAGTGTCTTAGTCCCTTGAAGTATTGTTTAACTAGTAGGACCCCTAATTCCATTTCCACTACCCTTGTTAGTATAGTTTTGTATGCTCCTAGGATTTTCTTTAGGCTTTAGGTTTAGGACCTACTAACTAGTTGTTCAATCCTCTTTAGTATTTTCTCCTAGGCTGTCTATATCTGTACTCTATATAGCATTGCTAGCTTAACAATTGCTTTGTATATAACTTTAGCTTTCTCGAATATAGCCCCCTATATAGAGGCTATAAGCCTATTAATGGATTGTATATTAGTATCTACCCTCTACTTTGCCTTCTTTACTTGTAGTCCCTAATTCAGTTTTAGATCTAGCTAGATCCCTAGTACCCTAAGCTCTGCTAATAGTTAGGTTTCAAAGCCTTAGATAGTGATTGATTGCTTTATATTATAGGTTGATTTAGCCTTACTAAAGTAGATAAGCTAGTACTTTTCTAGAGCGAATTTTACTCTATACCTCCTTGCCTATTTTTTACACTCCTAGTGCTTCTCTTCTAGGATCTTATAGTTAGTTTCTATTGTCTTAGACTAGGCTAGGATATTCGTATCATCTACAAACCCTAATGCTAATATGTTTTTTAATTCTAGGAGTAGGAGTAGGTCTACTATAAAGATAAGGAAGAGGATTAGGGAGAGTATTAATCCTTAGGGGATTCCCTTTTTAGTTAGTATTAGGTCTGATTTGAATTTGCCTAGAATAAGCTATATTAATCTTTCCTATAGGAAGGACTAGATAAATTGGACTATCTAGTTTAGTATAGCTTTCTGTTTAAGTATATATAGGAGCCTTTTATAG